GTGTGTGTGTGTGTGTGTGTGTGTGTGTGTGTGTGTGTGTGTGTGTGTGTGTGTGTGTGTGTGTTTTAATAATAATAAACCGTACAACTTAACTGTTCTGAACCTGTCAGTCACAAGTCTCTTCCAGTTCCAGTTTTGGTTTGATTTATGCAAATAACATTTTTACAATTTATTTAGTTCCTATAAAGTCTGGAGCATTCTGGCTCCTTAAAGTGTTTAATAGGGATTAATTAAAATATATTTACACAGGTTTTTAGCATAAATAAAAAAAGTTCTGCTCCTTTGAACAGGTGATGATAAATGAAGGTTTAGATTGTCTCAGCATCACAGAACAGAGACTAACAAAACCAGATTAATAAATGCTGTGGATTTATGAATCAAAGCAAATTTTACTGCGACCCAGCAGGAGCCGTGTAATGCTCTAAATCAGTTTTTTACTCGCAGACCGTTTCAGTCAGTGTTATCAGTGTTTTTTTGTATGTTTTTTTTTATTGCAGCTATTTTCTTATCAGCGTGCCAAGTTTTCTGAAGTGCTGCTTTTGTGTTTGTTTCCCTTCGTCTCTTTGTTCTGTGTCATCTCTGCTGTCGGGGAGCTGCCCGCCAGCCGGCTCTGACCCTGCACTAATAGCTCTCTGCATGACACCAGTGAACAGAGGGGGCATTTAACCGTGGCGGCCCCTCCCTCTCACCCCCCCGGAGCCGTCAACAATGTCATCCAGGACAATGAGATCCTTGGTGCCACACTTGCTCTCGCGTACACACACTCACACACAAACTGATTCTGTTGTCGCCGCTGGGAGTCTCGGCCCAACTCACCCCCGCTCATCAGAGACGATGCCAGGCACACTCTCTCCTTCATTGTATTGGTACAGTAAGGAGCGTACAGTAAGCAGGGTGACCTCAAACACTCGCCCTGCCTGACCTGAACACACACGCACGCACGCACGCACACACAAACACGTTTGCACAGCTTTCCATTTGGGGACATTCCATTACATTACATTTCCACAGYCTAACCCTGACCACAAATCCTAAGGCTAACCTCACAGGTACCTACCTGACCCTAAAACTAACCTAAACCCAATTCATACTTTGATCCTAAACCCAAACCCAACCCACCAATTGCATTTAAACCAAATGGGGACTCGACTTAGGTCCCCAAATGCACCAGTTGTCCCCAAAGGTAGGCATTTTGTCTTAAAATTGCCCCCAAATGTCACCAGAAACAACCCCCCCCCCCACACACACACACACAGGGAGCACAGCATTGAGACAGGGCTCCTCCCACAGATCCATTGAAACATGATAAATGTGCCACCAAACCAGCTGCTGGTGGAGAAATGATGCTGGTAAATGGTGACTTGTTGCAGGAATGGCTTCCTTTCGGCCTCCAAGCGCTTTGTGGAGAAGGACCTGGACGTGTCTGTGGCTGGACGCTCCTTCCTGATCACAGGAGCCAACAGTGGCATTGGGAAAGCCGCTGCAATGGCCATCGCCAAGAAAGGTACAACTCTTGCTGCACAGGGTGGCAGCTACTCCCCTCAAATATGAACTAAAATAAATGGGTAGACCATGAAGCAAGAGTTCAATCAGTCAGTTAGGTTGAGCTTAAAGTCAGAGTTTTCAAGAAGCAGGACCTGTTTGAGAGTGACAGTTGCAACAAAGGCACACCTGACAAGAACCAATAGAAACAGCCATTAGAGTGGTACTTATCAGTGGAGAAGCAGATGATGGCAGAAGTGTAGAGTTTTAGTTAACTGTCAGCATTTATGCCATCAGAGCGATGTATAAATGCTTCAAGATTTAGAATAAACCATAAATTGTCAAATAACATAAGTTCAGCCATCATTCTAAACTAGTCAGTGTCCCATATTTATGTGTTGATTAAATGTTGGCATTTCAATTTTAAAAGTTTAACCTCAGACCAACTTTATTCAAAGATTTATTTCTATTCAAATATTCAATAAATGAATACACAGTTGAAACCAGACAGGAAATAAAACCCTTTTCTGTTTGAAGTTAGTAAGAATTTCCAAGATTATTATTATTTTTATTTCACATCCAAATCATTAGAGAGAAAATTTGTTATTAGTTTCTTCAAGATTCAAGATTGCTGTGCTTCTAAACAATCTGAGAAAGCCTGGATCAGTGGTWTTCTGTTAAAACTCACTGAGGTCCAGTTACTAAAATTTCCTCCAAGTAATAGCTTTGAACGAAAAGTCCAACTTTTGTTTTGTATGTTCTTGCCTACCTGTACCTTCACATTTCACTATTAACAAACTTCACTTTATAGTAAGCAACTAGCTATTAGTATCATCTACTAATATTTTTGGTTTTCTGGTTGAAGCTGAAGCTAACTTGTTTTTTCATACAACTTCTCTTTTTGTTTTCCATCCATCAAACAATGTCTCAGCAGTAACATTTAAGCACTACTTCACGATTGGCCCATCATTAAATGTTTTATTTTATGTTACCCCACAATACCTTGAGTGAACCTTTGTTTGCAGGTTGCTGGGCTGTAAAAGTATTTGTGATGACTCGGGTAGATCAGTCTTACTGGACTTGCAGTTTGTTTAATTTGTGTGCTCTCTGCTCAGACTTCGGCGAATAACTTTGCTCAAAGGAGCTAGTTCGTTTTGTAGTGGTGCCTCACGACACTTTTAATTAATGCAGCTGTTTCGGAGCCTAACAAGACAAAAGGTTTGATTTTTACCTCCGCCAAGGACGTAATGTTTTCGGTCGCGTATGTCTGTCTGTCGTTCTGTCTGTCTGTGGACAAATTTACTCAAAAACCTGTGGACGGATTGTCATGACATTTTTACCACGTGCGTACTGGCCCAAGGCCCACACCATTAAATGTTGGTGATGTTCCGGAWCACGATGYGGATACAGGAATTTTTTTCTTTTAATTCGAGCGAATCAGTAGGGCTACGCAGTGTCGCTACGTCACACGCATGCCTGTATGAAACAGGAAGTAGGCCTACAAGTCGCAAACCCGCTGGGACTACAGAGTCGACTATCACGGAAGTTGTGATTATTCTGTTATCAACTATTTCTGGTGATGTTACATGCTGTCTGGAGACGTGCAAAAAGAAACGCGATTCTCTTCACATTACGGGAATAACAGGACACCGACAGTGGGAGGAGGGTCCTGCTGCACCCGAGCCGAAGATGGACTGTCCACGGGAACAGCTGATCAACCTGGTACCCCTCCATATGAGAACTTTATTGTGTGATTGCTCTGAAGTTCATGGGAGTGTTTGTGCTGAAAGCACTCACATGCTGCATTTTGCTTCAATCACTTGCTTCAATAAATAAATAAATAAATAACTTAAAAAAACATTCGCTTCATGAGCCGACTGTACCAGGAAGCACTTTATGAAGAGAGTCAAACCATTACAAACTCAGAAAAGAGTCACCATGCATGTAATCTCTGTTCGTACGCGCTCTGAATGTCAGGCGCACACTTTAAGTTTTGCCACATGGTAATCTCATTGCGTAGCGTACTGTAGTATTTCTTTTGAAAATGAAAAAAATAAAAATAAAACAAACTACAGTC